GACCGGTTGTTCCACTTTTTGATAAATTTTACTTATTGTGTAAGTAGCAAGATTACCCAATCACGTGGATTGCTAGATTTACCTAAGGTAAAATTTATCAAAAGGTGCTTAACAATCGGGTCTTGATGTAGTAGATCCTAAGTCATATGACTTGCCACCATGTTGTAGATTGGAAAGGCGCTTGAGTTTTTATAAAGCTACAGAATGATTTTTCTAAAAAAAAAAAGATATAATTCATTGTCATGAAGATTGTTTATAGCGAGTATATTTTTAAATCAGAATTATATAATAATATAATGTTAACGAACTTATTATACGTTCATATAAAGATAATATATATAATATTCACATTAATAATAATTAAATAGTAATAAGTAAATTAAAAATAAAAATTGATTAAATACTATATGAAAATTGTAATAGAATAATTATGTATGAAAAAATAATATATTGCATGAAAATTGTAATTAAATGTGAAATTGTAATTTAACAATATATATACACACAAATACATACTTTATTACGAAAATATTTTATCATATATAAATAGAACAGTCTACACAATATAACGTTTCCATAAAAATTTGATTTCATTTTTTAGTAAAACTTAATTTTATTAATTATATTTTATGGAAAGCAGATGCAGTTGATCTAACTTAACCTGCAATTTTAACTTTCTGAAGGCAGCCAATTCCTGATTGGAAACCGACGCATGCGCACTAAAAATTGGAAATAAAAATATAAAAAGTTCAATGTACTGTATGTACATATTTAGACTGTATCGCAAGTCACAAGCTTGTTGCTTCAGCCAATCCAATGCTTCAATTTTGAAGTCGCATGATGCTTACGACGCTGCCGACGCTATGATACGACCAAGTCGTAGAACGACTTTTAAGTACAATTTTAAGATATCGCAAGTCAATCCGAGGACTGTATTAGCATCTTAAGACATTATTTAAGACAGTTTTAAAATAAAAACGGATTATGAATATACCGTCCCATGTTTAGCGTTTCACAATTGGTAGCTCGATTCGTCCACAGACATTCGTTCATAGACAGAGAGATTTAGAGAGAGATGTGTGCAAACTGAACACATCATATTATACCAACGTAAATTTAGCAGACAAGTTTCTCATTTTTTTTTATTGCAAGAGTTTCATAATTTAGGAAACAATAATTTATTTATAATCAATGAAAATTAATCGAGAGTATAGTTAGCAGAAATATTAACATTTCTTACTTTTTTTTATTGTAAAAATTTCGTAATAATTTGGGAAAGATTAAGAAAATTTTCTCATATTGTAATTTGGGAAGTAATAATTTTATTGTAATTATTAAATAAATTTAGGTATATTTAAAATACGGACTGCACCTCCAATTTTGATAAAATTAGGCTCAATCAACGCGTTTTTGCTCGAAATGAAAGAATCTGTAAGAAAAAATGTTGGGACGGCTTCGCGAACTAAGATATTAAGCATTAAAGTTAACTACTATTGAGATTAGGAAATCTGTCACAGAGGCAAAATGAGATTTGTAATTGTATTATTCTACATGGGTTTCGACTTTCCACTCGAAGCGATTCTCACCCTTTCTCCCCCCTCTCTTGCAAAGAAGCGTACGACTTCTATAATTGTACTATTGCATATGGATTTCGATTTTCCATGCAAAGTCACCCCACTTTCTCCCCCCCCTAATTCTTCAGAAAAGCTGCCTCCTTTCGATGAAATTAGGCTCATTTGACGCGTTTTTGAGTAAAATGAAAGAATAAATATTAGGTGTTGGAATTAATTCGTAGCGTTTTACAAGTGATGGGAAGTACTTTCATTAATGTATTTTTTAATGCTCATGTGAAATAAATAACATTCTTTCATTAAAAAACGCTACGAATTAATTCCAACACCTAATAATTTCGAGGTTACGCTGCTCCAAACAAAAAAAAACATATCCTATCCGTTTGGGACCTAACTGCCTAAAAGTTGCAGCTTAGACAGTGTCCGCTTGGAATATTTCTAACCCTGAAGACAGTGGGATATGAGAACAGGCTTTTTACTGTCTAGACTGCAACTTCTAGGCAGTTAAGTCCAAGCTGGTAGGATATATTATTTCTTTTTTTGTTTGGGCTCCGCACAATAGAGGGAACAGGGAACAAAGAATAGAGAATAAGAATTTTAACTTATCAGAAATCATGTATTGTGGAATACATAGTTTCTGATAAGTTGAAATTCTTATTCTCGGTTTTCTTTTATTGTGCGGAGCCCCTAACAGAGGTCTAGTTTCCATCGAGGTTACAGTCAAACGACAGGGGAATACTTGAGTGTAGTTGGTTGGTTCTTACATTCTGATCCGATTTAAATCCTCGGTGGAAACTAAGCCACAGATTCGCAAAGTGTCACGTGATCAATATATTTCTCTGATTGGCTGGAGTAATTCGTAGCCATATTGAATTTACTATCAATATATCAGAAGAAATCTGAGAGAGGACATGACGGTCCAAAACCTGTAACCGTAAAATGCTTGTGACGTTGCAAGAGTTAGTTGCGGCGCTCGAGATAGTTCTTTTTTTCCGGCTTTCCTTTCTCTCTCTCTCTCTCTCTCTCTCTCTCTCTCTCTCTCTCTCTCTCTCTCTGGTGTCACAGCGTTCTGCATGCGCATCTTTTGTAAGCCTCAGCGATAGATTATAAGTCAGATTATAAGGCTCGGTAAGATTAATAATCACCCTATGTTCATTGCGAGATCGATATCGGATTACTACTCATGTAATTAGATAAATATTGGGTCATCTAAAAAGTATCCGCGGTACTTTGTCACTAGATATATGACCATCAACACGCATCTAGTGACAAAAAACCGCGGATACTTTTTAGATGAACCAATATATATTGGGTATGGGAATAAGTTTCCGCCCATTGCAGAAAGATGTCGTTAGTAGCATTGCTCGTGTGTTTGATAAAACGGCAAGATATGTTTTTGAAAGGTGTGTGTCCAAACTTTTGAGTCCAATAGATGGCATTCGTTTGAAGCGTAACAAAGAGTAACTTTTTTTGCGTTGAAGATGTCGGAATTTATTCCAAAAAAGCAACATTTGCGGGAAGTTTTACTCCATTATTTTATTTTAAAGAAAAGTACTGCGGAAACGCATTGTTTGCTCGTAGATATTTACGGTGAGCATGCTCCATCGAAAACTAGTTGTAAAGAATGGTTTCGGCGATTCAACAGTGGTGATTTTGACGTGCGTGACAAAGAACGCGAAGATGCACCGAAAAAATTTGAAGATACAGAATTGCAAGCATTACTCGAAGAAGATTCGTGTTTATCGCTCGATAGATTGGCAAAAGAGTTAAATGTTGATAGATCCACTGTTGGAAAACGTCTACACGCAATGGGAATGGGGCAAAAAGAAGGAA